ATCTAGTACTTTAAAATATCAAGAAAGAATGAAAAAAAATGAACTCAGAACAATGCTTAAGAAATTGATAGCATTAGAAAGCAAGGAGCCCGGTGCATATCAAGAAGATATTCGAACGGTGAAACGACAAATTGAGCTAGTAGAGCAGGAACGCTACAGAGGAGCCCTTATTCGAGCGAGAGCAGAGGCGTGGGCTATGGGGGAGACTCCTACCAAGCGCGCACTTGGAATCGAGAAATCACGAGCGCGTCGTAATCACATCGACGAAATAGAGGAAAATGGAATTCTGCTAAATACTAACAACACTATCACTGAAGCTTTCGTTCGGTATTACAAGGGTCTCTTCGCAGCCGCATTAGTAGATGTTACGAAGTTCAAGGACACTTTCTTGAGCCGGATGCCGCAATTATCCCTCGAAACGAAGGAAGCGTTAGAGAGGCCTATTACCGTTTCTGAAATTGAATATTCAATAAATAGTCTCGCCGCTGGGAAGTCACCGGGGCCTGACGGTCTCGGTGCGATGTGGTATAAAGCTTTTAAAACAGAAGTTTCACCAGTGTTACAAGCTGTGTTCAAGGAAGCCTACGCAATCAAAGCGTTACCACCTTCATTTGCCGAGACGCACACTATTCTAATACCTAAGACGGATGACAAAACAAAATTACAACTAGTTTCGTCATATAGGCGCTTTTCGCTAACCAACACTGACTAAAAAATACTCATGAAAGTATTGGTAGGTAGATTGCAGTCCGTTATCCCCGGAATAGTTGGGGAGCACCAAACGTGTGGCATCAAGGGGCGCTCAATATTGATGAACACACACACAATGTGATGTGTCCTTGAGAGTTGCGATGCTTTTAATTCTCACGTTGCAATCCTCCAGCTTGATTTAGAAAAGGCTTTTGACTGCGTTCCGCAAGATGTGTTATTCTCCATACTTGAACATGTCAATGTCGGAATGGTGATTACAGAGGGCATAGTTTTGGCGTATAAGAACTCTACTACACGACTAATTATTAACAAGATCCCGGGGTCTCCCATTAGGCTGGAACGTTCTGTACGCCAGGGATGTCCGGCAAGTCCACTCTTGTTTGCATTGTACATAGAGAGCTTATGCTTGGCCACAATAGAAAACGAGACCATCCGTGGTTTCAGACTGCTTGACGCCGAGGTAAAGGTTTTGGCATACGCTGATGATGTAGCTGTGTGTTGCACCACCAAAGAGAGTGTACAAGAGACAGTTGCCGTTGTTAAAAATTTTGGAGAAATTACAGGAAGTCGGGTTAATTGGGGAAAGTGTCTGGGGTTGTGGCACGGAGACTGTATGTACATCAACCCCAGATACCTATGCTAACGTTCACTGGTTTAATACTCGAGTAAAATATCTAGGCGTGCCTTTCCAGCACTACAAAGACACTAATGATTACTGGACTGAACAAATAAAAGAAACGCGCGAAAGGACAGTGCAGTGGAATGGCAACTGTCTCTCAATGTTTGCCAGAGCCACTGTATGCAACATATTTTTAATGAGCAAACTATGGTATGTGATGAAGGTTTTGTGTTGCTCACGGGTGCATGTGCAAAAGCTGCATAGGATATTTGCTGTGTTTATAGGGAGGTCTACTTGGGAAAAATGTAGTAGGACAAATCTGTTGCGTAGAGTAAAACAGGGGGGGCTAAGCCTGTCACATCTGTTCGTGGGACAACTAGTTAATCGTTTTATTTTCTTTCGATATGTTCAACACCCCTTTTTAAGAACAGTATGCCAGTTACGCCCTTGTCGTGTTCTGCCTAACTTTGTGGTTAGCACCGCAAGCATACCGGGAGCTACGCGAGGTTTCTTCAAGGAAGTTGCAGACAGTGTCCGGTTCTTGTCAGTTCGGTTTTCCAATGAATACCTTTCTTCGGTCGGGCGAAAGAAATTGCATAAAGACATATGCGACATGATTTTTCCAGTTCGTTTGTATAGGTTAATTAATAGCGAGGGAGAAGGCAATAATGTTCTTAAGCGTGTTAAGAAAATGCAAATTCAGCCTAGTGCAAATAGCTTTTTTTTAAATTACACTCCGAAACACTACCGGTTAAGACTTTTTTAGAAGATAGAGGAGTTTATATGCCATGGGGTTCGAACTGTTTGATCTGCCGAAAGCGGGAGACGTTTTTCTGCATTGTTGGGAAGGGGTTTACTTCTGGGATGTTTTACAGAGAACTCTAAAAAAGGAACTTCCCTTACATTCACTGGGTATCAGGTTTTTAACAGTAGAAAAAGAGAAGGGACTGCCTTTTGATCTTATAATGCTGCTCGGCCTCCATTGTCTATGGCGGGCAAGAATGGCCGGTTACTACTGTGACCCTGACAGGCGTCCGGCCCGTATGCTGTTCCGCGAAAGCATTGCTCAGTACATTGATATACTCAAACAACAAGATTTTGTTCTGGAATGGCTCTCCAGGGTCGAACCCCTGGTGAACCTGAAGGAATTTTAGCACTGTAATCACTAATAGATCCGCGGCTGTTTTGTCATCACTTCTGTTTGTATGTTACTGTTTACAGTGACTTATATTAATGTGTGTAGTACCTTGTGCGAAACCGGTAATAAAGAAAAAAAAAGTAAACATGTCGAGGGATTCCGCGGCTGTTTTGTCATCACTTCTGTTTGTATGTTACTGTTTACAGTGACTTATATTGATGGGTGTACCTTGTGCGAAACCAGTAATAAAAAAAAAAGAGTAAACACGTCGAGGTGGGGGCCGTTGCTGTAAATGGTAGGTTGTGCTCTTGTTGCGTACTTGTTAGCGTATGTGTTAGTGTGCTTGTTGCGTACTATATGTGTACTATGTGACCATGTGTGCATGTGTAGCTATATGGATTGCATCAGTACATATTAGGCTTCCGGTGTCCGTGAGTAATCCTGAATGGGTTGAGGCGTAAACAATCCGCAAGGGAGCCGTGATAGTGGGTAATGACAACGTACGGCGCGGCAGGCAAGTTTTTTTTTAGTTTCGTTTAGTCCCTCCAGATGGCACCAGCTACCACCCACTTCATTGCTATGACGCTCTCACACCTCCAGCTACTTATATAACGTTGAACATCTATCTATAAAAGCTGCACTACGGATACAGAATGGTTTCGCTGTGATCGAGTGTACGGTTTGGAGGCACATCTCGTGACCTGCGGACCCGTAAACGCATGGATAACGCCGCTACACTATGTGAATCTGTGAGAAATAAATACAGCAAGCCTAGCATGCACTCTTCAGGTGAGAACTCTGCAGAATCCGTGTCTTTCGAAGTGAACGTGGCTTCGCTGACCGAACGAAACGTATTTGCTCCGTCGTTCTTTCGCGATGTGTTCACCGCCACAGGTTCGTCTGCTTGTTTTTTATAATCATTTTGTTCAATATCAAGCTCAGCGGGACCCTTTTTTGTAACTTTCAGTGCCGTGTACTCCTTACCAGTCGAGAATCGTTGCATTTGCTAAGCGTACTCGCTTCGCCGGGGGGCAGCCATGTTGATTTTCATAAGGAGGAACGCGTTTCTCCGGGGATGAAGGAGCAACGTTTCTCTATTTAAAGACGAACATTGGGGACATCGCCGTTCCTCCCTAAATGGAGAGAACGTCACTCCATTTTTGTAAGAGTGTAGAGGAGAAGGCGGGGAACAGCTGGATCGGGCGCATCTGGCTGGCATTGTTCATCCTCAACTGTCCTGTGCATCAACTGTCCTTAACTGTCCTATCGGAAAACGAAGGCAAGAATGCCTTAACAGAAAATTCGCTCAGTGCAATATTCATACCCTTATGATTAGCTCGATTGTTATTGCGGATTTCAGTTATAGTGCTACTTTGAAATGCACAAAAAATGGTCAGTTGTAACTGGATGAGCCCATGATCACTAAAGCCGTCAAGGTACGGCACATCACCTATCGAATCAGAATTATTTTAAAAAAACGAGGTCTAAAATATTATCACGGGTTCGCTGAATAATTAATTGAAAAAAATGCAGTATAACAAGAGTTACCCATGAGTTCGGTAGCACTGCGCAAGACGATGACAACTTAGACCAATCTACTTGAGGAAAGTAAAAATCTCCAACCAGGTATATGGTGTCGGAGGGGTATTTTCGGCTGGCCGAAGTAGTGGAACTCTGAAGTTCGTGAATAAACAATTAATTGCAATGCGGTGTGCGGTAGCAGACAGTATCTTCGTCGTTGATGAAGAACAGGCGGCCCAAACCATTTCTATGCAAGAGTAGGTATCCACCAGAAACGACGCCAATTCTTTCATTGAGCGCAGTAAGAACACTGGCAACTTTTTGAGCTGTGCGGCCAAAATTTCTTTCGGGGGGTGGCACCTTTATTTTGGGAGGGGCACCCCCATAAGATGGCCATTTTCACTCTCTATGCTATGGCGAAAAAAAAATCCGGAGGGGGGGGGGGCATGTGCCTGGTGTGCCACCCCCTGGCTACACCCCCGGTCTTTTCTATATTGGATGCGAGGCCCTCCACTGGAGAAGCGGGCGCTGCAGTCGTTGTGACGTAGAGGGTTGGATCACGTGATCTCAATCTGCTCTGGCAAGCGAAGCGCACGGTTGAATGCGTCGGTTTTAAACGCGATTTCTAGGCTTTTCTGCCTTTGAAAAGCGTTCTTTAGCGCAGGCTTCACGTGAACCGACACCGAGAGAGTACACATTGTGGGAGAGTGCAGTCAAACTCACCGGCGGCATGATACTCTACTGCTCCGTGCCACAGTGCTCTACGTACGCGAGGGAGCCAGGCGTGCGCTTTCACTTTTACCCCAAAGTAAAACAACTACTCAACGCATGGCTTGTAAAGCTTCGAATGGGCAAGGAACCATGCATGCTCCTACGCACGTGTTTGCAGCAAGCACTTCCGCGAAGAAGACTTTGTGTACGGAGTGGGAGCGCGAATGTTCGTTGAGTAGTAGACGACGTGCGACGGTCTTCCACGTACTACAGTGTTCGACGAGTGATACGTGATACACAATGCTTGACCGCATGGCGGCTAGTTCTATTTACGCCACTGGTGAGCAGTAGGTGATCGCCGAAGGACGGAATGCGGGCACAATGCATCAGAAGGACTCGCACTTTCGTGCGATACAGAAATGCTAGCTCGGAGTCCCCAGTGCTTACCGGTGGCGCAAGAAGTATCGCGTTTCAATCGCTGTGCACTTTTCATTGGCCGTAAACCACAAGCATAACATGTTTCTTCCGCGGCAGGGTGGAAAAAGCGCTGCCTTGAAGCCGGAGCTGTGCCGTCGAAAAATTTACCGGTGCGCCCGTTAGATCGTCCGCGTACTGAGCGTCGGCAAACCCGGGAACAACAGAGTGGTTAGTAATTTTTTATTTTTTAATTATTCAGCTACGTGGTGCCACGCTTGTCAAAGAGTGTACTTATGCTCGTAGGGTGTGCACACCGCTTCGATGCTTCGAATGAGTACTTGGCATTATTTCTGTGGTTCTGTTCGAGCATGCTTACTGATGCGCTGCCAACAATGAGTTGGCAAAGTAAGTGACAGAATTCAAATGGGGGGGGGGGGTGGGATTGAGGAACAGAAACAGCTGACCCGCTCGACGCGTACATCATCGTCAAGGGGACATCGCTGTGGTATGTCGCCCAACAAGGCGGCCTGTTTTCCCATTCTTTCGTCGATGACAAACATCGTACGCTCAGTCGGCGGCGAGTAAAGCGCCTGACCTTGGCATGCGCGTCATTCATTTATTTGGTAAAAAGCAATTTCTAATAGGAAACTGCATTAAAGCTCGTGAATTAGTAGTCAAGCATAAGTGCGAAGATTTGTGTTTATTTCAGCTTTTCATCTGTAATTATTGCATCGTGTGTACTTCGGTAACAGTGTTTACAATGGAATATTGACCGCTCCAGGAAGATGCACAAGTGTGATCATATTAAAATTAATTGTTATATTTTTCAATACATAGTGTTTAGGGTGCTACGTGCCAAGTCAAAAGTGTGGGCATTTCTTAGGTCAGCATGGTTTTGAGTCACTTGTGTAGACGCGGTTAGCATCTGTGAGCATCCTGCATCGTACGCATAGGGCAGTTTTCACTTCCTAGGTCTGAAATGCTGTTAACAAGAGAAGAATGCAGTGAAATTTATTCTTATTGACCACATTTAATTCTGAGACAAAGATTTGCTACAGACTGTGGTACTGTGGTTACTTCTGTAAGCTTTTATGTTAAGGAGACAGGGTGTGGGAACACGGACACAAGGGAGAAGGCAAGACCCCAAAAATGCCTTACTATAAGACATCACAGACACCAAGGGCGTTTATGGTGTATTGACTTCTCTCTTGTGTACGGGTTCGCATGCCCTGTCTCTTTAGCATGGATTCTAACCAAAGAGCTCAACTCTCTGTTATTCTAGACTTTTGTAAGTTGTTCACTGTTTCTATGAAACAATTGAACATCACCGTATGCCCTCAAAATCAAAGCTTTTATAGTCCTGCTTGGTGATGCTAATAAACGAGTTTTGATTTTCAGTTTGTATAAACCGCGTTCTTGACAGGACGTTTCAGGTGCACATATTTGACTGAGCTGAGGCAGGAGCAGCGTGTGCCTCTTGTTTTAGCATACTTGGTCCCACATAAATGTATTACGGTTTGCAGAAAGCATAAATGACAAGTAAGTTGTGAACAAACAAAATTGAGGTACTTTATTTATTGCCCAACGCACTTAGTAGCAAGATGAAACAATGCTCCTCAGACTTCAAAACTTGCAGATCTGAAGAAAACTTTTATTACCATGCATGGTCATAAATATATATCTTCTTGGATTATTTGCATATATTTTAATGCGCAGTGCCGATGTACACATTGCCTTGCGACTGAGTTAATTACTGCATAATAGCTTTACTGTAGGCACAAAACCATTGCAACGGCTTTAAACAGCGGTATCCTGCAAAGCACATTATCACTGAGTGCTTGACTTGAGTGATATTATGCAAGAGCTAGTGGGTTAAGCGTATAAATATTGAGATACTCAAAAACAGTGCAGACAGCAGGACTACAGTGTTGTCTTCTCATAGTCCTGTTGTATGTGCTGCTCGTTCAATTTGTCGAGATATAATGCACATTATATTCAGTGGAAGCAGATTGCAAAAGTATTGTGGAGGGCAATGTTCGTGAGTATTGAAAGTAACAACTTGTAATTTAACACATATCATAGGAAATAACTCATAATAAATTCAGCTTAGTCTTCTGCGGTGTCTTGAAGCTGAAGTGTATCACATACAATTTTGTAAACAAGTTTGCATATTTTTAATGTGAACTTTCAAACATGCAAGATCTCCGATGCGGCAGTTACATTTGTGTGAAAAGTTAAAGCGGCTGCAAGTAAATAATGACATGAAAGACGCATTCTTAAAGCACACTGTTGCAGTGCTTGCAGCAAGTAGTGACCGCATAAGCCAGAATGGTCTGTGTGAAATTGCGAAAGCTTGTGAAATGTCGCAGCAACCTAAGGTAGGTGGAGTAAACAACACAACTTAAAGTGTGATATTTTTGCTTGTGTGGTTGTCCTTTTTATTTGGGGACATTTATAATGTAGCTTGACACGAGTACTGAAAAAAATTGGACGCATCTTTCTTTTAGTTGCAGCAGACGTGCCGTTGGTGACGGTACATCCCACCCCCAAGCCCCCTGCAGATATTCTAGACGTCCAGGCACAACCATCTGAATGTGAGATTCACCAGGGCTTTGGCACATCCGCCTTCAGCAACCACCAAGATGTTAACAATGAAGATGGCCTGGAAGGTTAGTTTGATGGTCCTATTGCTACCTGACTCATGTTCAATTTTTCGCACAACACAGTTTTAACAATTTTGTGCTTCAGATCTTCCTGCTGCAGCGCTTGCCTTCAGAAGAGAAATTGGAATTCAAGTTAACACCCTTGATGCTGCGAGACATCAAGCACTCAGCATAGCGCAAGTAAAAACACAAAAAGACCTAAGTGTAATCACCGGTCCTTCATGCTACCAGCTATTTTATAATATTTGTGATGTGTACACTAACAGCCGTATGCTTATGCAGGCAAAAAGCTTTTGCCTATGCAACGAAGATGTAGTGCTGATGACTATCATGAAGCTCCACCACAACGTGCCATTTTCACTAATTGGGGTACTTTTTGGCATTCATCGCACTACAGCAGCAGATGTATCCAAAGCAACAATTGCAACACTAGCAGAAATACTGCAAACAGCAGTATTCTGGCCAACAAAGAGGCGGTTGTCGACTACCTCACCGTTCATTTTAAGGAATACCCAAATGTGCGTGCAGTTTTGGACTGCCCGGAAATCCCGCTGCAAAGACAAAAGAATCTGGAGTCACAGCTACTCACGTACAGCTGGTACAAGGGTACCTATACAGCCAAGGTTTTAGTCTGTGAAACACCTGGAGGCCATATTAGCTTTCTGAGCAAGGCATATGGTGGAAGGGCGTCGGATTCCTTTATTACAAAGGAAAGTAAAATTCTTGAGAAGTTTTTTGCCTTCTATAGATAGTGTAATGGTTGACAAGGGCTTTCTGATCGATGAACTCAGCCTTCAGCACCATGTAACCATGGTTAGCCCTCCATTTTTACGCAAAAAGAAACAGCTTACACAACGTGAAGCTCAACAAAACCAGAGCATTGCAGCTGCCCGCGTTCATGGGGAGCGCGCCATTCAGCGTATGAAAGTGTTCAAAGTTCTGTCGAGAAGCCTTGGCACTGAGCTTTTCCCGTACATTTATGATATTTTAACCGTCATTGCAGGAATTGTCAATTTGTCGAAACCGATTTTCAGTGCTGAGAAGTTCTTGTATGAGTGAAATAGCTTTGTGACATGCCTAAAAGGGGCATTGCATCCCCATAAGTGTCAGGGTGCTACCAGTTCACTTGAAAGGCCAGTAATGCAGCAACATGTTATGCATGCACCGAGAACAGTTTCAGTGTGTTTTGCATTGCTTCTCAACCATGCCCATTATGCTTCAGAAGAGCTATAGCTGAGATATGATTTTTCCTGCTTGACCTTTTATGGCGAGTTTTTGTCTGTATTTCTCGTTTTTCAGTATTGTTTATACGAATATACTTCACATGTAACTTTGATGATTGATTGATTAATTTTTTGTGTTTAACGTCCCAAAACCACCATATGATTATGAGAGACGCCGTAGTGGAGGGCTCCGGTAATTTCGACCACCTGGGGTTCTTTAACGTGCACCCAAATCCACATGTAACTTTGAATATCTGCTTTGATTCGATGTGCATACTTTTTTTCTTTTTTATCTTTGTTATGCTCGGGTGTTTTTCTTTCACCCTTTGCTGATTTTTTTAGACATATACATGTACTCAGTAATATGAATTACCGAGACAGTATTAACGAACACTGGAGCAAACTGGGTATACTAAACACACACATCTTGAAAACCTTGCGGTTGGCTCTTGAGACACATCATTTGCTTAAGATGACACTACCTTTTCACTCACTTAACACGAGCCTCAAAAATATCAGCCATGTACATTTCGCCATGTTAGCTACAGGAATAACAAAATCAGGAGAAACTATGGTTCACAAGCGTTACACTATCATATTACAACACCCTTGAACGACAACACAAAGGTATAGAAGGAATAATAAGAAATTACAAATCAGTAAAAACAAAGCACCAAATAAGTCAACTACTTCTTTCATAGTTTTTTTCTGTGCATATTGCATGCGATTTGTGTTCAGTGATTTTCGTCCTCAACAATGATATGTTTGATTTTATATTTACTTATATGTACTCAAAATTGTACCTGAACCATTACTTCTTTTATGTAAGTTTTCAGTCACTTCCTTGTTTTCAGTGCTTGTGTGCAAACTGTTGTTGTTTCAAGTGGGAGGGCCTCGTCAGGTGTAAATCCCATTTGTCTTCTCCTTCTGAAGTGTAACATTCTGCACTTGAATAAAATCAATTCAGTTCAATACTTATTTCACTGTTTGCTGATTTGTGTTTTCTTACCAGCATTACCTATAATACTTTGCTTCTCATGTTTTTCAAAGTTGGCATTATTGCATTAGGTTTCTCTTGTGACTAACAAAAGTTATTCGTCTCACATTTTATAGAACTCTCATTTACTAGGCATTATTGCATTTGTTTTCTAATAATATTAGTTTTCGGGGTTTGACATGCCCAAGCCATATCACCAGGAGGCACGTTGTAGTGGAGGACTCTGGATATTTCAACTGCCCGGGGTTCTTTAACGTGCACTGACATAGCCGGGGCGGTGGTTATGAAGCATTTGTACTCTCTTTGTCATTGTAACATATGTTTTCAAGTACTGATTCATCATTTGTAACCTTGCTTCCTTGCCCCGCCGTGGTGGTCTAGTGGCTAAGGTACTCGGCTGCTGACCCGCAGGTCGCGGGTTCAAATCCCGGCAGCGGCGGCTGCATTTTCGATGGAGGCGGAAATGTTGTAGGCCCGTGTGCTCAGATTTGGGTGCACGTTAAAGAACCCCAGGTGGTCTAAATTTCCGGAGCCCTCCACTACGGTGTCTCTCATAATCATATGGAAGTTTTGGGACGTTAAACTCCACAAATCAATCAACCTTGCTTCCTTACCCACAACAATCAAATTCTGAAAAGGACGCAATGCAAAAGTATTTATTTACATAGAGAGCTGCACATTAAAAACACTGATAGACATAACTGTAGTCCGCAATTTAGCACCCCTGAATGCAGTGTGGCATCACGAAATTCAACTCCATTATTGGGCAGCTCTCTCAAGTACTTACACAGATGGGCGACATTAAAAACACCAAAGAGTTAGAAACACCAGTACAGCATCCGTCGCAGAGCGCAGTGTGGCACAAGAAAACAAACACCATGATTTTATTATGAAACCTCACATCCTCTATTGCACTCTTTATGTTATCTAGTTGGCCTTACAAACTATAGTGTTATAAGATGTGCATGTGGCTCAAACAACACCTATTAGGCATCTTGTAATGTTTTACTGTGCTATATGTGGCAAAACATAAGATTTTAAGAAGTGCACGGCCATTTATACAACCGAATTGCAAAAGACTTCATCAAGATCAAAAGAAAATAAAAAGAAGTGTTCAGCGTCTTGAAACACAAAAAAGTCGCTCCTGTGAACTTTTGCAAGCACCATTTGAATTTGAACTTGGCAGAAATACTTGCTGGTTTTCTTAAGGTACACATTTTCATCCTTGGACATGGCGATCTCCTTCTGTTTGAATTTCTCTAGGGTTATTGGACATTTAACCTCTAGAGTCCGCTGCGGGCAGCAATCGCAAGTGACTAGCCCATCTGGGGATGCGCCAATACAGGGGTGCTCCTTTGATATGAAGACTTGTATGCGACCCAATGGCTGTGTAGACCTCTTTTGCTGTCTTTTCTAGTAAAATACCTCGTGACATTGCACAAGTTTGAACATTGTGCTCTTTCATTATAGACTTCAAAAGAGGCCGCACGTCATGAGGCCCCAATTTTGTCCTTAATGTGTGCACCCTTGTGTAAACGGAATATGCAATGGAGGCTGTCACCATCCCTCTTCTGCACAGCATCCAGTGCAGTGAATATGCTTGTTGTGTGGTTATGGAAGTGACTTGTATGTTTCAGTCTGTGAATGTATGCTGAATGTAACTGTACATGTCATCTGCTGACTTGGCTCCAGTTGCCACTGCTTGTGCAACTGCTTCAGTGAGTGTTGATGGTCGTGTAACAGGTGTGCTTTGCTGCTCCACAATTGCGTTACTGTTCTCCTGTCGAGTGGTTGCTGCGAATGCTGGAGACCTGCACGTTCCCTCCGACTTATCTCGCCTTACTACTAGAGGAGATGTTCTTGGTTCACCAGCATTGTTTCCTGTCAAACAAAAAGAGTCATCGTGACATCTTTGAGAACCGTTTGTGGACAAAAACGATTAGATGAATAAAATGAAGAGGTTAGTCTCTTTATATCTTATTTCTTCAATACACACATCATTATTCCTCTTTTGAGGAATTATGATGCCTTGGCAAAAACGTGGTTGCTTGAAGACTGCATAAATCCAAGTAATCATGCAATAATCATCACCATCACAAACAGCTACGAGCTTCATCGTATGCATGCATACTGCCTTCACTGTGGCGCAGTGCCGAGCACACATGAGGCAATCCATGGAGCAGCCTCTAGTGGATGTTTTCTTCAGGTATTCTGACTTCTTTCCTCGGCTGAAAAAAGAGAGATGAATATGTGTTTATCTAAGTTTATATGCATATTTCTCAAAAATGATGTGTCCTTGCCATTGTTTTAGGCCGTCATGTGGAATGGTGTTTATACTCTTCATTTTTATTTGTTACAGTTTACATGTGCTGCAACAAGGAACTTGACGGAGCACTGATAATCAAGCCATTTCTTCATTTAACGTATTAAATGACCAAAACTGCCTAGTGATTTATTGCATGCAAAGTGCAGCTATTGCCACTCTTTGCTAGCACTGCAACTATGGTTCTCCATTTCTTAGGCAATATTTCACTATTAAATTAGTCACTAACCTTTTTCGAGCATCGCAACTCTGCAATCAACCTTGGTTTATACTTATTTCTTGCATCTGTCAGCTGTTCTTTACCCTATTGATGAGGCATATCAGTAAAAGAAAGGACGTCAAATGTTTCTGTCACATGAATGTGCAGTAGTAGTGCTATCATGTGCTTACACTTGTGCTGCCTATATGAAGAAAAAGCAGTAATAAATTGCAAAGACTTTACTACGAGTACTGTTCTGAATGAATATAAAGGGGCAGTGGCGTAGCCAAAGGGGGGAGGGAACCCCACCCCCCAAAATTTTCAATTTTGCTTGCATATATATACACGCACACATACAAATTCACGCACGAACATACATAAAGTATGGTTGAAACCCCCGCGCCTGAAGAATATTTCTGGCTACGCCCCTGTAAAGGTCTCAATATCCCTTGATTGCAAATATTTTATTGGCGATAACTTACCCTTACCCTGCTTTGCAAGAGCGTGGTGCTGCTGTCACCTGTCTTTCTTTTACTTTAATTTCCAGCTCGGGAGGGTCCTTGTTTACAGATGATGTCTGCAGAATCAGCCCAGCCAGTGTCACTTCTTTACGTTCTTTTACGCTGCAGGCGACAACGTGGCCAGCTTCAAATCCCGATTCAACTTCTTGTAGCAGACGCGAAATGTCGTACTGCTTGTCGATGAAGCTGTAAATGCTGGACACTGGTATTTTCACTGAAACATAAAATAGCAATTAGACCACGGGAAACTACACCTTGCAGCACGTTAGTGCATTCGAATGCGCAAAGTAATTCAGCCGACTTGTACACGGTGCATTTGTTATCGCAATCGATCCCAATCGGCACCGTATTTTTATATCGCGATTGGCCCCTATGTGTAAGCTGGGGAAAGGAGTCAATCCTCGAGAATTTTCACAATGTGGCTCGATGGTGATCGAAAATGCACCATGTGACAACCGTAGAAGCTTCAAGCAATAAAAAGCAAAAGCTTAATATCCAAATCGGGCTGCAGACAAACTTCTGTCTACGTAGAGTGTTATCTAGCAACAACTCTGAATGAAGCGTGCGCGTGCACTTGGCTCTCGATCGTGCGTTTGCCTCTAATCATATGAGAAAGATTGCGGCTGCCTGCAGCTGTAAGCGTGTTTGGTTGCCTCACATCAAGCGGATAAACCACATGCGTCGTGCTTTATAAAACTATGTGCAATAAACACGAGCGTAAATTTGCGCATGCCATTTCTCTGTCGAGTCAACCGCGGCACACGTTTAGATACACACCGACAATGAATGAAGTTACACGCTGGACGCATTTCTTGCAGCAAAATATGTCTGCCGGAAGCACACCCTAAAGCCCATATATGATGGTGTCATGCAAGGTTCTTTTTGATGTTCAGTAATAAGAGCTCCCTAAGGTTTAAACCTACGATTGATTGATTGAT